AATTTTAACGGAGATCGTCGTTGAAACGCCGTTGAAAACCGTTGAAAATCCGTTGGAAAATCCGTTGGACAAATCCGTTGGAAAATCCGTTGGAATTTGAGGATTTTTTTGTAGTGAACTAAACTATATAATCTATGTTTATATAGTGTGTATATATATTGATATAAAAATGATTAGGCCCCTCACATACCTGAGGCGTGCGCCTTCGCCTCGGGTTTTTGGATCTTTTGCGCTTCGGGACGCCTCGCGCATTTTTCAACCAAGAGGGTTCCTCTACTTCCTAAACCAAATGCAAATACCAATATGATCATTCAGTGTTCCTCTACTTCCTAAACCAAATGCAGATACCAATGATTCATTCAGTGTTCATCACTCAGGATTATGACAAAAACCGCGTACCCTGAGATTGACACCACTGACTGCAGCGACACCATTAAGCTGTCCAATACTTTGATTCGTAGATGGTCCGGTTACTTTCTGCTTCTTTCTGTAAGTCGGTCCATAAAATTTCAGTTATAAATCTAAATAGCAAACCGGAAAGAAAAGGTCTGAGCAAGCTGTCACTATAGTTCTCCATTTCACAATCCGAATGGTTCTATTACCTTGGTGGTTTCTTCTGACAAACAACGCGATTTTTCGGAGCTCTCTTAACGGTAACTCCTGCTGGAGAGGTCACAGGTCGGGCATGAGAATTTGGCTGACACATAAAGGATCAACATTTCGTTAGACATCGTGCTTTATCTACATAGGTGCAAATCTGATACTATTTGCACAAACTGAGATCAGGCCGACAGGTAAGCTCAAACCTCGTTGCAGACATTGCATTAGCAATCATGCAACATAATATCTTGAAAACAATACAAATTAGTAGTACCTGTTGCAGTTTCCTATATGCCAGCCTCATAATTTGATCATCTACAATATCTCTCATATGTCGTCCGAATACATCCTTTGAAATTTCGTTTCTCTGTCACCATGTATCAGAAGAAAATTGTTGTAAGAGGTCTAACAATTTTTTTTATAGTGAACATGATGCTGAAATTTCACAAAAGTGTTGTTGACCAACCTGGAGCTTAGCACTCAGGATATGGAGCTGCATTGCCCTATCTTTATCCAATAGGGCCTGTAGGGTCTGCAGAAATACAGAAAATGACACTTTCCTAGGATCACGGTTTCTAGGGTCAACAGGTTGTTTCATTGCACGGGCCTGTTGACTACTCATCTTCTGCAATTTCATGGATTCACTCTCTTGATTATGAGATCTCTTTGGTTTAGTAGAAAGAGGATTCTTCTCAGAAACCTGCAACCCAGGTGTTTGGGAAACCTGAAGAGGCCTCTCCCACAGTTGACCTGATTCACGATGATCCTGAGGCTGGTTGTGTTGTAAATGAGAATTTTTCGCACATTTTACGCCATTTTGGCGTTCATTCTCTAAGGCTGATCCTTGTTGCTCCTTCATCTGAGCACTTTCTAGGCTGGGCTGTCTATGGAGGTTGGTATTAGCATCCCCATTCACATTCTCCCAAGTTAGAAAAGCCTGGCTGGAAGAATGGTTGCTTCCTTGAAACACAATAGCCCAGGCTATTAATTGATGTAATTCAGAATCTCATGTAAAAAATGGAAAAACCCAGATGAAGAAACACAAAAAAAAAAAAAAACGAAATTAACTAGTGTTTCACTGTTACAGATGATTTTATATGGTCCAGGCTATTAATTGATGTAGTTTCCACATATTCGTTTACGCAACGCATCACAAAGGAACTTCCAGACTAACACCACGGATATATAAAAAATGGTCACTTAAGCACCTGAGGCATAGAAATAAAACGAATCAGCAGTGATGTATGAACACAAAAATATAGCAAATTAGGTTTATTCCACATAAGTCCACTAAAAGCACAGTACTCAGTATCATTAAGGCATCAGCAGGATCATCAACCTAATACATGTCCTGACAATCAAGAAAACACAGGAAGTCATCTAAACTAGTTGTTAACTTCGCATCAGCCATGATGCTGGCTCAACGAGCCAACATCGAGCATATTCCATAACACACGTAGTGGCGTTCTTTGCACATCTACGCCCTAAAAATATCCCTGATTCAGGTCCCTTCTTCAGCTTTAAAGCTGAGTCTTTCACACATCTTAGTCGATTCTTGAGTTCCCCACCTGCCTTACCTTAAGTTAGCCCAGAAACCAGTTTCTGTAATTATTCACGAGCCAAGAAACCCGACCCTTCTAAGAATTTGCATACCCAAAAAAAGTACCAAACTATAGATTTCCTACAGTAGGTATGAACTATGGTTCAACTTCGCCACTTATTGACTTATTCATCTACAAAAGGTAAGCGTCTAAAAGCTTGATACTATGAACAAGTCTTTTGGATCATAAACATAATCAGCTAAAGTTCTTATAGATTCCCTGCAGTCTACATGAAAGATGCCCTACTACTAAGGCACAAACCTGTCTTTACGACCATACTCATGCATCTAAACCAATCCAAATATCTAAGAATTTGACAGTATTCTTAATTAACCATCCAAAAATCCTCATTGTTTTTCAGAAATGAGCATGCATTATTAGGTTTCAACTTCAGCTTTCAACCCTTCCAATGAAGCCATCAGAAAGCTGGGTATGAGCCTCACAATGCGGAAATAATCCCGTATAGAGAATCTAAGCAACCTTAGTCGTCGCCCGGGAAGTCACAGATTCTAAAGCAAATATCGATGATATGCCAGATATCGACCTCCTGTTTGTATCGATATCGACCACCCCATAGGTCGATATCGGTCAACATCCCAGATCGATATTCATATCTCACATATGGACCGATATACCAAAGATTGATCACACAAAGATTAGTCGAAAATGACAGAAAGAGGTATGGTGTTGAAACCGAAATCACGAAATGGCGACACGAATCGATCCCCAAAACCCATACCGGTGTTTGTGCCAGAAAACTGCGAAGTCGACATAGAACCTTCGATGTCTCGATTCAACGCAGCTTGGAACGCGTTGACATCAGCTCCCCGAGTGCGTTAGATTCATCATGACCGTAGAATTCGCCGGAATAAAAAATCGAGAAGCTGAAGCAACACACTGAGGTGAAGAGAAGTTAGAAGGAAAATGTTTGAAATCGAAAAACAGTATCTCTCCTTCCAGCAGGGAAGAGGCCAATATGAAGAGGAACATTACTCGGTAAGCCCATGTCGTTTCTCACATTTTAGATAGCACAGCGTGTCGTTTTCTTGTTCCCTCTGAACACAAACGGTGTCGTCTTTGGTCCGGACGGAAATGTTTTACTGTATACTAAGAAACTGCCTGGCGTTTTTGTTTTTGAGAACAACACTTCTTGTCTTCTAAAGCCAAACATTGTCGTTTTGGTTCGGCCCGAAATATCACTGCGCTAATGCCATATAAGGCGAAAATTCAGAGGAGATTTATATATGTGTGTATGTATATACACAAACTTATACAACTTATCTTCAGAAAATGATTTAATTTTTGCAGAACAATTTTTTTTATTTGGAGAAATTGTATATTATTACAGAACTTGTAAAAAAAAAATCCTACATAAATATGAACATATCCGACTGTTTTCATCTGTACTTTGGGAATCTTATATTTTCCTAAGCATTAAAATTCGATGTTTTACAAATTAGACAAAAGAGAAATATTTAACATAAGGTTTTATTTTGTTATTTATCATATGGGAAAACAAAGATTTCATGTTTGAGACCAATAGAAAATAGCCACGTGGAATAAGCAAAATCGACCGACACGTCGCTGAGGCATCGCAATCAGCAAGCACTCGAGACGTCGTACACGTGTCGAATATCTAGGCGTTGATAACGTCAATCATTAATTATTAAAATAATCTCCGAAAGGTCAGGGAAAATAAAATAAAAAATAAATTGGTACCTGCATAAATATAAATGAAATAAAATAAGAACACTAGAGAGCTGCTGCTGTTAGTTGGTCACCTCTAATCGTTCAAACTTGCTCGAATATTATAATCATTATACACAAATAATATTATAATTACCACTTACTAACAATATCGATTTATTATTGTTCGAGATCTTTGGATTAATCATATCAGATTCGCATATAAATACGAAAATATCGGAGAAAATCTAGTTTCGGTAGTTGGGCTTCACAATTCACATTATACCTCTCTCTCTCTCTCTCTCTGTGACTGGAGAAGGACGGAGAGAGAAGTTCCATGGCGAGTCTACGGCGGCGACAGTGGTGGACCGCGGTGGCATTTCCGACGAGACGAATCTGGAACCGTATCGGCGTACGCCTCGGATTCCGCCGCACCGGTAAGTCCCTCCGCCGTCCGATTTTTCACTCCTCCGTCGGAGACTGCTGGTGAAACTTTCGCCGATGTTATCCGCCGTTCTCGTTTTCTTGTCTTGCTCTCTGTCTTCCGTCGATCGGAGGTTTGGGTGTTGTCGACGATCGGAGGCTCTGTTTCATCGCTTGAATTTGACAGATGAACTTTTTTTCTGTGTCATTTTGTATGATTGGATAACGACTGTAAATCTGCGGTAGGTTTGAGGATTCGTATCTATCATCGGAATTAGGTTAATCCATGGGAATTTTGTTGGTTTGGAGCTTCATGGTTTCTGAAAATGTCGGCGGAAGAAACTCTGCTTTCTTCGATTAACGAATGGGACAGTACTAATTGGAATAGAATGTTCTGCAGATGTGAACTTTACTCTGTTTAATCCGGGAGCGAGACTCTTAATATGAGGATTAGGAGATTCTTAAGCACAATTCAAATTCAGCTTAATCATCCATCTATTTTTAGAGGTTGAATTGGAATTAAGGGAGATTTTACGTCTATTAAAAAACTGCGGGGGCTCTTGATAGAAAACAGATTCCATGTCATACCATTGAGCTTGTTATTGCCATGTTGTTCGTCATCTGGTCGCTGCACTATCATTCATCGATTCCTAGAGAATTTTCCCCTTTGATCCGTCCAGTCCATTAATTGTCACGGTTTCTATGAACAGGACTCCTCAAGTTGCAGCACGACGTGAGATCATGTGAGTATGAAGATATACATATAATGTGGGGTTTGCTGCACAAGAACGAAGATCTTGGCCCATCCCAGAAGAGAACATGCTGGAAGTGGAAGAATCTCCTCGGATCTTATCTTTGCCAAAGATTCTGACAAACGCCCAGAATCAGAATCCAAACCCGAAACATTTGAGTTCATGACGAATCTTCCAGCTCCTCCGTCGGTGGTGGGTGCCGTACGGGGTAGCCTCGCAGTTCTGTCTTAAAATTATGCCCCTTTGTAAATACCACCCAAGTTCGAAAGCATGTCGGAGTAGTGGTAGGTCTCAACTTCGTGCTTGGATTGTGGATGTGCGTGTGTATATATACACACATATATAATAAAACAATGTATCATTTCTCTTCAACGACCACTCGAACATGGGATATGAGATAAATGTATCTCTCTCTTCTCAACCAACTACACTATTCGGCTTATTATTCCTTTTCCTTCAGATCAGGCTATCATCTGTAGGCTGATCTTCACAATCAGGTTTTCTATCATTCTAATGTTAGAGAGAAGATAATATCTCAGACAATTTTTAATCATGGTATTGTTAAAAGCTATATATGTGTAAATATCGAAATTACTGTATGGGATCTATATGTTATACATTAATTTAGTTTGTGTTGTCTGTGACGAGATGTTTTCATTAACAAGTTAACTGTAATTCTAACGAATCGTTGTATTATTACACAAGTGGTTCCAAAAGAGGGTCATTCTATTGGTTCTGGATGGAACCACAAGACATTCCAAAATACAGTCACTCACTAGATAGGTATTCGGCTCTGGTTGGAACCAAAAGCAAAGTATCGAATTTGTTGCTCCTATCTATACATATATTCACAAATATACACATATATGATTATAGTGCATATGTATAACTATAACTATATGTGTATATATATTATATGATTGTTTTGAATCTACAAATGGATCAAATTGATGAAATTTTTTTGAGAAAATTAGAAATTAATAAATTGTACTAATGATTTGAATTTTTTTTATCAAAAATAAATAAATAAAAGAAAACAGTTATTAAACTTAAAAGACGGTTCCGCGCTCTCCCGTGAGACTGAGAGTTAGAACTTGGTCACCTGGTTAAGAGCCCTTCTCATCCTTTGTCTTTTCGTATTTTTTTTATATAAAAAATAAATTAACTGTCCATAAAACAAATTATACAACAGGAAGGGAAAAAAAAACATCTGAAGATAGCAATCCAATATATTTTAGATAGTACTTTGCATTTTGGTTAATATTGTCCCATTTTTTCCATTTAGAAAAAAAAAACCCAAGAAAGCCAAGGAATGGAATCATCAAAATAAAAAGCATATATGGCCATATATTTACACTAAAACTTGTGGTTAAACCCTACAAGAGAAACAACTGTGACTTCTCCCTACCATCATCCCCATTGACTGATGTTAAAACCCATGTTGGATCAAAATGAAAAAGACACACACACACAGAGAAACACTTTTTGTTCACTTCACGCTTTGGGTTGTCAGATTGTTTGAAGGTTGATGATGTTGTTGCTGCAAATCCTGCGTTCTCAAGCTGCATTCTGTAACCTGCGTGTGTGTGTGTGTGTGTGTAGACACAAATCATGCCATCTCTAAACCCTTTGCAAACTCTTATACATACATACATACATATATATACACACACACACACTTTTACCAATTCGATGTATATATGTATATAGCAACTTATTAGAAATCAAAATGTACCTGCAGTGCTCCGATTGTTGAGAGGAGGTCCATGCATTCGTCGAGCATACCTTGCTCCTTGTGATTTACGCTGGCTAGGTCTCCTGCTATACCGCTTAATTTACTCACCTGAAAGAAGAAAAAAAATGCTTACTTTCATTCACCATATTATTGTCCATATTCATAACCACGCATTACATAAAAAAAAATTCTCGATTTCTCAACCTATAGATGATATAATATGATTCATTAACAACCAAACCATTGATATGTTGAGAAGATTCAAAAAAATCCTACTGAGGAGAGGAGGGAAATTAAAAAGGAATCACCTTTGGCAGCAATAAGCATATGGAAGATGCCATTGCCTGCATAACATCAACTGCTGAGCAGATTGCATCTTTGACACTCTGCACATTAGCCTGGCATTACAAGGGGAGGGAAACAAAGTACCGATCGTTACGTGTTCATTACAGACTATTGAAAAGAAGGCTTTTGAAGAGAGAGAGAGAGACATACCATTGCCCCGGAAACAACTGGTAGACAAACTGTGCTCCCTCTCAAGGCTTCGACAGCTCCCACTACGGAACTCGTATATTCCCGGTCCATGGCATTCCATTCTTCCAGATATGTCATCTATATTCATGTAAGAATGCGTTATTCTCTTGTTGTTATTTGAGACTAAAAAGAGTGCCAAAGCCGTGACTATGTATTCAAAAGAAGAAATTTTCCAAGGAAAAGGAAAAAAAAAGAATAGGGGATAGAAAAGAAGAAAACACTGTAAAATGTTCCACAGAGAAGGATCAAGGCCAAATTTATGTCAACTTACTTGGCCATCGAGAATGGAAATCAACTTCAGATTCTGCTTTAGCAGCTGCATTTCAGTTCTTTTCAGTATGACAGTATCATACAACTTTGACATGCTTATCCACGCATTGCAAAGGCTTCTCTGGTATATTGAAAGTAAATCATATTCAGAATTTGACGCCTCCCGTTTAAAAACTAAATATTTAAGATATGAACCTCTAGACATTGGTGGCATGGACCCGACTGATAAACTTAGTTGAGGTTGTCAACTACAGCATTAACTGATACCAACTTTCAACACAAGAAGATAGCTTTTTCTTGATTGACATTTCCAGGAGACCATGACTTACTATAAAATTTCAACATATTTTCTACAATAATCAATGAATATAGATAAGTAATGACATGGTGTTGAAATAACAGGCTATCTAAAGCCATCGATAATCTTCTCACAGTGACCGACACTGAAACAATTGAGAATATTTACAGTTCCAACCTATAAGGAAAGATTTAAATCATTCAGGAAAAGGGAATACCACTAACCTCCACTCTCATTTTCTGCACAGATAAAACTGTATTTGCCCGTGCATTAGCAAAACGCCACTGCAGCAACCTGTTGTAGAAGAGCCTCAACAAGTGAGCATCAGCTACCTGATTCTCTCCGATCTTCCCTCTTTTAGCATCAGCTGCAAAACTCAAAATGGAAGGTGTGTTGCAGAAGCTATTATTCAACGTACTTCTCACTCTTGAAGGGCTCATTCCTCTTGAAGGGCTCATTCCTCTTGAAGGGCTTATCCCTCTTGAAGGGCTCAAACCTCTTGAAGGGCTCATGCCTCTCGAAGGGCTTACTCCTCTAGGTGTGCTCGCTCCTCTCAGAAGAGAAGCTGCGGGTGTTGCCAACTTGCTAGGTGAAGCAGGTCGAAGCTGATCACGCATTGGCAATAACTGCCCTCTCGTGTTGACTACTGCTTTTGGAGATGATACAGGACTATCCACAGAGAACTTTCTCGGCACAGCAATGAGCTTCGTGGATGCCATTGGCTTCAGTCCATTAGTTTTAGACATTGGTGAGCCAGGCTCTTGCTGCTGCCGGGGACAACTATTTGTCAATTGCAAAAATCTAGCTGGAACCACAACCCCACGAGCAGACAGCCTTTGCTCTCTTCCAATCCTCTCTTGCCCTCCAGAAACAGTGCTACCGGAAGACACGCTCTCTGTATCAGATACGATGGAATCATACCCAACCGCCGAAGAATCTGCCCTATCCTTATCAGCACTTGTTGAATCTGAAGCGACGCTTCCATGCGAAACCAGTCTATTATCAATCATGGAGCTCTGCAGTGCTCTAACTGCGCCATTGCCTGGTCCGCTCAATTTCTTTCTCTCATCAGTGAAGTCCACGCTTCTACTCAGAGAACTAGGCTGCCGAGACCTCGGCCACTGCTCAGCGGGCCTCGACTTCTCGCGCTGAAC